AATTTCCAATAAATGATTTTATTAGGGAGGGGAAATCTAAAAAACAATGATCTAAGCTTGACCTTTAGGAACTAGAAAAAGATCAAATTAAAACCAAAGTAGGCAGAAGAAAATAATGAAAAACATAAAATTAATGAAATAGGAAATGGATAAACAACAGAGAATGAAATAAAAAGCTGAGTCTGAAAAGATCAATAAAATTGGTAAGTCTTTAACCAGACTGATCAAGAAATAAAGAGATGATATAAATTACCAAGATCAGGAAAGTGGAAGCATCACTACAGACTTTACAGACATTAAAAGCTACTAAGACTAATAAGTGAGTTTAGCAAGACGGCAGAATACAAGGTTAACATATAAAAATACTTTTATATTTTCATATATAGTGATTTACAATCAGAAACTGAAGTTAAAACAGTACAATAGCATAATACCATTAAACACTTAGGGATAAACTTAACAAAATATGTGTGAGACCTACATACTGAAAATTACAAAACATTCCTAGGAGAAATTAAAGATCTAAATGTATGGAGACGATACACCATGTTCATGGATTGGAGGACTCAATAGTAAGATGTCAATTCTCTCTAAATTAATCTATACATTCAATGCAATCACAATAAAAACCCAACAGGCTTTTTTTTTTTTTGGTAGAAATTGATAATTCTACAATTTATATGGAAAGGTGAAGGACCTAAAAGAACCAAAACAAGTTTTAAAAGGTAAAATGAAGTCCAAGAACCTATATTTCCTAATTTCAAGATGCACTATAAAGCTACAGTAACTAAGCCATTGTGGTACTGAGGACAGATGAATAGATCACTGGTAAGGAATAGTCTAGAAACAGACTCACATATATGTGGTCAGTTAACTGTCAACAAAGATGCCATGGAATTCAATGAGAAAGGACAGTCTTTACAAATGGTGCTGGAACAACTGGATTTCCATGTCAACGCGAAGGAGGACCCTTCAACTCTTACTGCACATAAAAATTTATTCTAAATTTGAGAGTTCAAACTATAAAACACCTAGAAGAAAACAAGAGAAAATCATTATGACCCTGGGTCAGGCAAAGATATCTTAGCTAAAACAAAAAAGAATAAAAGGAAAAAACTGAGGTACCAAATTTCACCTAAATTAAAAACTTTTGCTTTTAAGATACCATTAAGATAATAAAAGGGAAACCACAGACTCAGTGGATACATGCAAACATGTATCTGATAAAGGACTTTTATCAAGAATGTATAAAGAACACTTGCAACGCAATAATAACTTGCAAAGCAAAAGTTCTGAACCCACACTTCACCTAAGAAAATATACTAATGCCCAATAAGCACATGAAAAGATGCTTAACATCAGTATTCACTGGGGAAATGTAAACGTTGTCAAGGATGCAGGAGAAATAGGAACTCCTGAATTGCTGGAGGGAACGGTCTCTTTTCATATGTACTTACCATGTGACCAGCAATCCCACTCCTAGGCATCTACTCAGGAGAAATGAGACACATGTCCACACAAAGACTTGCAGGTGAATGCTCAGAGCAGCTTTATTTATAACAGCCCCCAAACGGAAACCACCAGACGTCCATCAGTGGATGAGTGGAGAGAGAAGAGGGATGTGTCCATTCAGAGGATCACAAGTCATCATTAAAAAGGAACGAAGTACTGATTCATGCAGTAAGATGGATGAATCAACCACAAAAGAAACGTTAAGTCAGCGAGAACAGACTACATATGTGTGATTCCATTTATACGGAATTCCAGAAATGGCAAGACTATGACAGAAGCAGGCTGATGTGAGGGGCCACTAGGAAGCCTTTCCAGTGATGAAAATATTCCTGGCCTTGGGGGCTGGCCCCATGGCCTAGTGGTTAAGTTCGGCACACTCCACTTTGGCAACGGGGGTTCGGTTCCCAGGTGCAGACCTACATACACCACTTGTTGGCAGCCATGCTTGGGTGGCGGCGACCCACATACAAAATAGAGGAAGACTGGCACAGATGTTAGCTCAGGGCCAATCTTCCTCAGCAGAAAAAAAAAAAAAATATATATATATATATATTCCTGGCCTTAATCGTGGTGGCTGCTGGACTACTACAGATATCTATCAAGCAGATCAAACTGTCCTCTTAGAGTGGGAGAATGTTACTGTTTCAACACCAGCTTCGATAATTATTAATACACAAAATCCAATAATAAACACTGTACATCTGGGTATGGTAGACAATTTTTTTTTTTTTTTGGTGAGGAAGATTAGCCCTGAGCTCACATCTATTGCCAATCTTCCTGTTTTTGCTGAGGAAGACTGTTGCTGAGCTAATATCTGTGCCCACCTTCCTCTATTTTGTATGTGGGATGCCGCCACAGCATGGCTTGATGAGTGGTGCATAGGTCTGCGCCTGGGATCCGAATCTGCGAACCCCAGGCCACTGAAATGGAAGCGTGTGAACCTAACCACTAAGCCACTGGGCCAGCCCCTCTAGACACTTAAGAAACTCTGACTTAAATCAGAGAAAATTCTCATCACTATGGTGCCCCTCTAAGTGTAATTAAAGTGCAACCTTGAGACATATGTCAGGCCTTTGTCATCTGGACTCAATGAAAGCCCATCTAGAAACAACTCTCCTTGAGTGCCGTCCTCTTTAACCTATAAAACACCCTCCACCCACCAGTCCGGCTCTCAGGCTGAACACAGGCTGTGCAGTGTTTAGGGTCAATAACAGTCACTTTTATCCCCTTTAGGTCAGCCTGCCATAGTCACCTATTTACTACAAATCTCCCATTTTCAGTCATCATTTCTGGAAGTTTATATGGAACAAAGTACCTATGACTTTCAAAAACTACCTTTAATATACAGCGTATGTATTATATTATAGTAAAATATGTAATATATATTATCCCAAATTATCTAAAATCAATACAAGTCTCATGTAACACATTAAATACTCAAAAGTAAACAATGAAACGTGCTAAGCTGTATGGAAATTGAGACTCACAACCTTACAGTGTGAAAACTCCAAGGAGCTATGTTAGTGCTGAGGTTTTAAGCCATGATACACACAACCGATCACAAAGAAAATTCGGGAACAAGAGCTCCCAAATCTCTATTTATGGTATCAATTTATTTCTCAGTAACCAGAGATTCTGCATTTTGTATTTGTCGCCGTCACCATAAAAGGTGATCCAGAAACAGAACAATGGGACCCTATTCTAACCACCTTGGCTTAGTTACAACTGCTTTTGTAATGACCTCACTACAGGGCCAAACCCAAGTCCTTAGACATCGAAGGGACAAAATAAACCTACGTAAAGTTAACTTCCACTGGACTTCTCCATCCCTGGGGTCTGGCCCAGTTTCTGGAACATACCAAGCCTTTCTCTCCTGGGGTGCCCTCTCCCTACTCTCCATACTGCACCCCTGAGCCACCTGCTATGTGAGGCCTTCCCAACCAGCCTGGATGAGGCGGATGTAACTCCCTCCAAGGGTGTGCGTCCCCCCCCCCGTTCCTCTCCCTCAAAGCACTGTGAAAGTGGCCCACCCCCTCCACCGTCAGAAGTAAGCCACACGAGGAGAGACGTGGCGTCCTGTCCGCCCGAAGTGCCCTGGCGTACAGTGGGCACCCAGGAACGTGAGCAGAACTGCAGAGATGACAAATACAGAGATGAAGAACAGAAGAGGGACCTACGTCACTCACACTCCACAATCTCCAACTCTCCAGAAAAGGTTCTTAACCCTGCCTGGGGCCTCGTGAAGCCTTCTCGGGACAACATTTTTAAAGACGGAAAATAAAACACACAGGATTACACAGGGAAAAACATGTTGAAATACAACCACCTAAATCCTGACAGAGTAATACGCACGCTCCTTTATTAGTGTGTTAGGTGTCAAGATGCAGGGTGCGGGAACTACTGGACGTGAAACAGCCACGAGCATAAGCGGTATTTCCAGACACCTGCCACCGCCGCCGTGAGAGGAGGTCTGTGCTCCCCAACCACTGTGCCCGCTTGTAACTGCAGGAAGCGCCACAATTTCCAGATCCATGCACTTAACTGACTGATGCAGACAGTGGGGCCTAGTTAGCGCCCACTAAATAAGAAACACTTTATTATGTTTGAAGAAACATTCCTAGAACCAAAGCAAGTAGATTTTTAAAATATTTTACTATGCACACGTGGAATTCTAGAATGAAACTGATGCTTTTACATAGCTTGGCCCTTTACCCAGATCTCTCATAAGCTGGAAAATTACAGAGTTTTAAACTTCCTTAGACAACAGGGAAAATTAAAACACTGACAAAATTCTTAGGGCCTAGGGCACCCCGGGTGGTTATTTGGAAGGGACACCAGCGTTTTTGCATACCGGGCTTGGTAATGCTAACCTGAGTGTGACTCTGTGAATTACAGTATTTCTCGGCATATCCGTCATTCAGCCACCTAAAGTCCACAATAAACTCAGATTTAAGTTGACAATAACAATGACAATAAGATAATAAAGAAAATAGAGTTATTCCGTGTTTTCTACAGCCAGGCACTGTTCTAAGCCTCGTACCCCACAGGGGCTGCTCTGCGATTACCCTCACTTTAGAAGAAGGAGCTGAGTGAGATGCAGGGAGATTCACCGGCTCCCCCAGGATGACACACCTGGTGACCACGTCCAGGAGGGCTGGGGCACGGCGGCAGGTACCTCGAGGGAGAAGGGCGCTTGCAGAGTTAGAACTTATCAGTGCTGACTGCACACACCCAAACACTCAATCACCACTTTGCCAAGACTCGGAATTCCATGTCAGCATCCGAGGACCAGCCCCTCTCCCGCCCCGTTCACAAGAGGAGGAAACGGTCAGAGTGGTTGCAGGGAGAGAAGACCAGGACGCTGGTTCCCAGGGCTCCTGACACTTTCCAGCCCGGTACGTGCTCCACGCGCCGATGTTCGCCCGTGTGTTCCAACCGCCCACGCCGAGGCTCCGTGCTAAGGCCTACGCAGGCGGGGGCCGACTTACCAATCTGCAACAGGATCGGCGTGACCAACGCCGTCTCCATGGCGTAACAGAACTCCCTGCCAAACATCACGGCCCCGTGCATGACCCACCGGCGCACGGGCACGCGGTCTATGGAGCCCTCACTGCCGGTCTCCTCTCGGGGCTCCGCCGCCGTGCTTCCGGGGGTCTGCAGGGGCACAGGGGACTCTTGAACTTGCATAGATTCTGAGTCGGCATTCTGTGGAGCCATTTTCATTACCACCAAAAATATATATATATTTGCTCTATCTATATAAATAATTCTATCATATATCTTTAAGGATAAATTAAGACGTCTTCTCTTTCTGCTTCGGTTGTGTTTCTCCGGCAAGTAATACTTATATTCCTCTTTGTACAAACAGAGATCTCACAACTTCTCACAATCGGATGAGACACGCAGCAAAACAAAGCGATTTTTGGTTGGATTTGAAACATATGGCTTGCTGGTTTACTGTGAATTAGAGTTAAAAATCCATAATTGCCATTCAGTTAATACCAGTTTCATCATTATTACTGAAGAGGTGCTGAAGTTATTTTTCTTGCTACAGAGAGGTGGGAAGGTGACACAAAAAGGTGGTCCACCGTTGCTCCCCATCGAGTGACTGGCTGATCTGCAAAAGAGGAAAACAACCCCACCGGAGAGTCAGACGGGGGCGGCCACCATGTGGCCTCCCACCCCCTAGCAGTCCGGGCGCCCCGCGGGACTGGTCGGCGGTCACTTAGCAGACCACGGACCTCTGACCGCCTCAGTTCTGTGCTTATTCTGAGTCATCTGTGGAAAAAACAAACCTTAATTTCTAGAGAAACAACATTTTCTTGTACGGAATTTAATTCAGGGGCAGGACAAAGACCGCAACAGCAAAGGGAAGCCGCACCAGGGAAAGCGAGTAGACAGAGAAACAGAGCTCAAGGTTCCTGCTCTCCCCAGTTCCCCTCGGCGGGCTCGGGGACGGGCTGCGAGGACACCGCACAGGGAAGGCGTCCGGCCACCCAAGGTCTGCAAACCTCAGGACGGGGAGTGAGGGTGGAGGGGCTGGGGAGGCGGGAGAAAGACTGAAAAAGGAAAGGGGATGCTGCCTGCAGACGTGGCAGAGGAAAATGCAAAGTGGCAGGCTGGGCGGAGCAAGAATGGGGCGATGCGCCACCTGAAGAGGGGAGTCTGAGGTCCACCCCAAGGTGGCAGGATTCGGGTTGAGAGCTGTCTACAGTGTTTGACCTCTTTAGGTTGTACAACCTTTTGATAATCAAATGCAAGTCACAGCCCCTCTCCAGAATAAAACACACATGCGTGCCAAACTCGGAACACCATGTCTAGGGGCCCAGGGACTCCCAACCCGCACACAGCATTCCCAGGGGGCTGTGGGACCCTGGCCCCTAGTCCTGTGTTTCCACCGTCCTGGTCCCTGTGACCTGGCTTTGTGACATGTTCTCTACCTGGATGAACACACCACAGTAAAGCATCGAATGCTGAGAATCTTAACTAGAAATGCCACTTTAGAAAGGTTTTAGGAAAATGAGGTCCCTCTCCCCCATGTGAGGCAAGATCCAGATGCAGCTGCAAAGCTGCCCCTTCTAGACTTGGGCCTCCAGACGTGCATTAAAACAGGTGACCCTGAAATCACGCAAAATGGTGTTCACATTTTACATTAAGGTAGGTTTGTGACCTGGTATCTTACCAAAATTTTTCCACAACTGGTTTAAATAAAAATATTTCTAGTTAATATTCACTTAACCAAAGATGATCTTCATTAGCCCCTTCTCTCTTTCTCCCCAGAAGGGACCAGACACTGGGGACAGTCTTCACTTGGTACCCCCCCTCAGGTGCCCAGGAGCAGTGGAGGGTCCCAGAGCTTGGCTGCTGGGCAGAGCTGGAGCTGCTCCCCCTCAGAGGTCCCCAGAGGCCCCTCCGCTATTCCAGCATTCCAGTGCCTTCTCACACTCTCTCTCCAGCTGCAACTGAATCTTCCCTGGGAATTGCAGTCCAAGGACTCCTACCTATACATGTGCTGCTTCTGTCCCCCAAATTTCACTACAATCCCACGCTGCAGCCCTTACCTGAGATTTCTCTGAAATTTACCAAGGGTCCTCTATCATATAATTAACATCTCAATTAAAACCAGTGCTTCCAAGCTGTCACCCTCCTACAATCTTTTTAAAAGACTATGAAACTATTTCTAATATATGTTACAAAGTAAACAAAGTAGTTTACAAAGTATACAAAGTAAACAAAATAGTATTAAAACAAAAAATCACCCAGCATTAAATTCCCAACATTCTGCTGCTCTTATTGCATCCCTACCTTTCAAGGGATTTCTGTCTTAAGACAAATATATCATCATCTTCCTTTCTGTCACCAAAACAGGGTCAATGATTTTAAACGCATTTTTCCACCAGATAAAATGGATGATTTTTACGTGAAGAAAGTGTATCCAGACAGGCTTTAAAAGTCTAAATTGGGGCCGGCCCCGTGGCTTAGCGGTTAAGTGTGCGCGCTCCGCTACTGGCAGCCTGGGTTCGGATCCCGGGCGCGCACCGACGCACCGCTTCTCCGGCCATGCTGAGGCCGTGTCCCACATACAGCAACTAGAAGGATGTGCAGCTGTGACATACAACTATCTACTGGGGCTTTGGGGGGGGGGGGGGGGGAAGGAGGAAGATTGGCAATAGATGTTAGCTCAGAGCCGGTCTTCCTCAGCAAAAAGAGGAGGATTAGCACGGATGTTAGCTCACGGCTGATCTTCCTCACACACACAAAAAAGTCTAAATTGATCAGCTGGGCTTTTGGTGGGAACAATAGTAATCAGTTTTCTAAGAAATCCTAATGACTTCATTATGAACACCAAACTTTTCAGTTCTGTCCCACTGCTGTATCCATCCTGAGACTCATGTCTGAAATAAAGCAGTCTCTGCTAAGAGTCATTTCAGCAACAGCTAAAAACGAGGCAATAAAGCTCTGTGATAAGTATACTCGAATTATCTTAAGGCAGTGGCTCTCAACTGGGGACAATTCTGCGCCCCCGGGGACAGCAGGCAATGTCTGGAGACATTCTTGGTTGTCACAACTTGGGTGGGGGGTGTTACTGCATCTCGTGGGGGGAGGCCACAGATGCTGCTCAGCATCCTACAGTGCACAGGACAGCCCCCACGGCAGAGGATGATCCGGCCCAATATGTCAACCGTGCCAAGGTTGAGAAACTCTGTTCTAAGGTTATTATTAAATAGGAAAAAAGTTTTCTTAAAAAACGCTGAAACCCTTCATTACTACATTTTGCATCAATCAACTAGACCAAACATCACAAACTCAACTTCACTACTACCTTTGTTTTACTAAACCTCTCGTCTTTGTTCAAAGCAGAACTGGAAAATGCAGAAGAGCTCAAGCCACAGGCCCCTGAGGAGGAGGGGGTGGGCTCCAGGGTCACGTCTGTAAGAGGAGAAGGGCGTGAGCTATTCCCTCTCCAGTCCACCCACCTACTCCACGGGGAGCGGCATTTCTTGTAAGAATCGCTGAGGAGCCGTAAAGAAAGCCCCAGCACACCGTCATGGCCTCCCGCATGTTTGTCCAGACTCTGGGCTCCAGCCACAGGCCTACGGCTGTACCTGCTGAAATATCTGAGGAATCGGCTATGGAGTCCTAGCAAGATGTCTTTATTTTACCAGGGAAAAGCTGAGGAGCGTAGGGAACTGAACACTCGGAGCGAAGTTACATGCTGACAGAGAGAGCAAGTTACCACATCTGAGTTACTCTTAACTGTTTGGAGTTCCCTACCAAATTTCTAAAAATGGTCCAAAATTGGCCTTGGGAAGAGATAGTGAAGAGGAGGGAGACAGAGAGCTGGACGGTCCACGCTCACTGGACTTCTCCAGGGCCGGGAGTGTCCCATCTTCTGTCTGTCTCCCACACGCTCGGTCAGGGGCCAGCAGCTACTGAACTGCTGATCACAGCTGTCTACCTCGTTAGCAGAGTCTGTTCCACACCTAGAGTGCTGCTGAGTTAGTCTAATGGCCCAGGGAATCTGCATTTCAATCCGGGCCCGGTGAGTGGTCTTCTCAAAGAGGGGAACCTGCCATGGGCTGGGGCAGTGCTGTGACCTGCTGTGGACTCAGTTCGCAGTCTAGTTCCTGTCCTGACACTATGTCTGGGTGGCAGAGGGAAGGAATCATCCTTCAGGGCAGGATGCCTGTGTGGAAGATCAAGATTTGGCCACCCTGAAATCTATCTCTTTACCTTGGTTGTTTTCTCTGAGAACATTTGATCTCTCCCACTAACTGCCTAAAGAATTTGACATAGTAACTCCTTCCTGGAACGGATCTTCTATCTGATGGCTGTAATATAATGTAAAATAGATGTTACAATAGAAAAGGCATCAATAAGCCCATCTTATGTCTCTCTGGCCACATTCTTTGGATGGCCCTGCAAGGAGCTGCCAGACAAACATTTACATTTATGAGGGAAATCTCCATTTGTAAAGGTATCTCCCTCTCTGTTTTGGGAAGAGGGGGGATGACCTCATTTCTAGAGACTTATCAATGTGGAAGGTGAGGCCTTGGGGCTGCATAATAAACCTTACTCTTGTTTACTGTGCTTTAGTGGTAATCTCCTGTAACTGACTCCCCACCTAACATCCTCCTTTGTCATTGGCTGAACATGGTATTTAAGACGAGAATTTCTGCTATTGTGCTGAGAAACTCAGTGTCCCTGCTTTCTCCCATGTATACATGTTATTAAACTTGGTATTATTGGGCCGGCTCCGTGGCTTAGCGGTTGAGTGCGCGCGCTCTGATGCTGGCGGCCCAGGTTCGGATCCCGGGCACGCCCCAAGGCACCACTTCTCCGTCCAACCCGAGGCTGAGTCCCACGTACAGCAACTAGAAGGATGCGAACCTATGACATACAACTATCTACTGGGGCTTTGGGGGGAAAAAAATGAATAAATAAAATCTTTAAAAAAAAAAAAACAAAAAAACTTGGTATTATTTTCTCCTGCTAACCTGTCTTGTTCATTATTTGGCCAGCCATAAGAACCTTAAGGAAAAGGGCAGAGGGAGATTCTCCCTCTCTCCTGACACCTGCCTCCCTCTCGCTGTGCCCTTCAATCTCTCTCCCAGCGCTCACACCACTAAGCCCAGCCTGCCTATGGCTCACGGCCCTTCATCTGGCCCCACCAGCTCTCCCAGCCCTGCCTCTCATTCCACCCCTTGCTTCTCCCCTCTTCAGCTCAAGCCACACAGTCCCTGAGGACTCTTCTCAAAGCTCAGCCCTGGCCTACAGAACTGATGTCCTCCTTGTGCCAAGGGCTCTCACAGCAACTGTGCATGGGTAACAGTCTTGCCCCAGGCAGCGAGAAGCTCCCAGGGGAGACCCCACCCCCCGCTGTCATCTGCTCTCACATCCCCCACTGTGCCTGGCCACACAGCAGGAGCCTGGCAAGGCTACTGAATGAATGAATGAACGAATGAATGATGATAACCAGCTAACCAGTACTTACTAGGGACTGTCTGCACTGGAAAGCCACCCCCCACCCAGGTGATCGGGTGGCCAGCGGCCAGGGTCAGGCCTCATGGGCGTCCTCATGAAATGGTGTGAGCGTGGTGTGGGGTTTACCTGTTACTCAAGTAGTCTAGGCATTA